GGGGGGTGCAATGGGCAGCGACTGGGAGGTTAGGCTGGTCATTATGGGCCAGGCAAAGATGCTCGGCGAAACGGTCACCTAGTCTACGTTTGGTCTTACCGATGTAGAGAAGACCGCATCGGGGGCAGCAGATGTAGTACACTAGTTTGGAGGAGAAGCAGGTGAAACCCCCTCAGCTGGAAGGACTGTTTAGGGCCCTGAATGGAGACAAGGGAGTTGGTGTGCAGGCAGGTGTTGCATCTTTCACGGTTACAGGGGAAGGTACAGTGGGGTGGAGTAGAGTGGTTGGTGGAGAGTGTAGCATGAATTAAGGAGTGGCAAAGGGAATGGCCCTTGCAGAAGGCAGAGAGGGGCGGGGAGTGGAGTTGGCAGAAGTGTTTGAGGATGATTCGTTGGATGCGGAGGCTGGTGGGGTGGAAAGTGAGGATAAGGGGTTGGGGGGGGGCGAAATTGTTTCGAGCTGTGGAGCGGGGAATAGAGAAGGCATGGCGAAGGGCTGTCTGGACGACAGGACGGGGGAAAGAACATTGTTTGAACTCAGATGACATCTGGGATGCTTGGGAATAGAACGCCCCCTCATCACAGCAAATGCAACAGAGATGGCGGAATTGAGAAAACGGGATGAAGTTTATGCAGGATACAGGGTGTGAGGAGGTGTGGTTGAGGTAGTTATAGCAGTCTATGGATTTATAGTAAATGTCGGTCTATAAACTGTCACCAGAAATGGAAATGGAGAGGTCAAGAAAGGGGAGAGAGGTGTTAGACCAAGTGAACTTGAGGGCAGGGTGGAATTTACTGGAGAAGTTGATGAACTGCTCCAGTTCAGCCTGGGTGCAGGATGCAGCAAATCGACGGAGCAACAGAAAGGTGGGGAACGGTACCAGCGTACATAATGAAGAGGGACTGTTCGATACAACTGATAGAGGCAGGCATAGCTGGGTCAGATCCAAGCTCTGCAATCCTGCCTCATCCAGTCGCAAATGTTGATGGATGATAGAACAGCTCACTGCAGTACGAGGCTCCACAAATATCCCCATCCTTGATGGAGGTGCTCAGCACATCAGAGCCAAATCAGGCTGAAGCATTCACAGCAAGCTTCAGACAGAAGTGCCAAATGGATGACGCACCTCGGCTTCCTCTCGAGGTCCCCAGCATTACAGATACCAGTCTTCAGCCAATTCGATTCACTCCACGTGATATCAAGAAACGGTTGGAAACACTGGATACTACAAAGGCTACGGGCTCTGACAACATTCCGGCAATAGTACTGAAGGCCTGTACTCCAGAACACGCTGCCCTAGCCAAGCTCTTCCCATACAGTTACAACACTGGTATCTACCCAACAATGTGGAAAATTGCCCAAATGTCCTGTTCATAAAAAGCAGGACAAATCCAACCCAGCCAATTACCGCCCCATCAGCCTACTCTCGATCAGTAAAGTGATGGAAGGTGTCAATCATCAGTGCTATCAAGCAGCACCTGCTCAGTGATGCCCAGTTTGGGTTCTGCCAGGGCCACTCAGCTCCTGATCTCATTACAGACTTTGTTCAAACATGGACAAAAGAGGTGAAGTCCAGACGTGAGGGGAGAGTGACAGCCCTTGACATCCAGACTGCGTTTGACCAAGTGTGGCATCAAGGAGCCTAACAATACTGGAATCAATGGGTATCAGGAGGCAAACGCTCCAGTAGTTGGAGTCATACCTGACACATAGGAAGATGGTCATGGTTGTTGGAGGTCAGTCACCTCAGCTCTAGGACATCTCTGCAGGAGTTCCTCAGGGTGGTGTCCTTGGCCCAACCATCTTCAGCTGCTTCATCAATGACCTTCTCTCCATCATCAGGTCAGACGTGGGGATGCTCGCTGATGATTGCACAACATTCAGCACCATTCGTGACGCCTCAGACATTGAAGCAGTCTGTGTCCAAATGCAACATGATCTGGACAATATCCAGGTTTGAGCTGACAAGTGGCATGGAACTTTCACACCACACAAATGCCAGGCTATGACCATCAAAAATACAAGACAAACACCGCCCCTTGACATCCATTAGTGTTACCATCACTGAATCCCCCACAATCAACATCCTGGGAGTGATCATTGATCAGAAGCTCAACTGGACTCACTACATGAACGCAGTGGTTACAAGAGCAGGTCAGAGACAAGGAATACTGTGGTAAACAACTCATTTCCTAACTCCTCAAAAGCACGAGTCAGGAGTGTGAAGTAATACTCCCCATTTGCCTGGAATGAGTGCAGCCCCCACAACACTCAAGAAGCTTGACATCATCTAGAACAAAGCAGCCCCCTTGACTGGCACTACATCCACAAACATTCACTCCTTCCACCACCGATGCTCAGTAGCAGCAGTATGTACTATCTACAAGTTGCACTGCAGAAATTCGCCAAAGATTCTCAGACAGTACCTTCCAAACCCACGACCACTTCCATCCAGAAAGTCAAGGACAGCAAATATATGAGAACACCACCACATTCAAGTTCCCGTTCATGCCACTCACCATCCTGAATTGGAAATATAATCGCTGTTCCTTCACTGTCGCCGGGTCAAAATCCTGGAATTCCCTCCCTCATGGCATTGTCGGTCAACCCACGGCAGGTAGACTGCAGCGGTTCAAGAAGACAGCTTACCACTATCTTCTCAAGGGCAACTAGGCATGGTGTGTAAATGCTGGCCAGCCAGCGACACCCACATCCCACAAAATGAATTTTAAAAATAATGCTAGTGATTATGCAGATATGTGGTAGGATGCTCATCTAGTTTCTTTCCTCATAACATATATTCTACAGTATATCCATGCTGACAGTTAAGAAAATAACTACTTTTGCACTGACTATAAAAGACTTTTTTTAAAAACTTCAACTCTGTACATTACATTCAATCTTTGATTGTTCTGCTGATATTTCTACATCAGAACAAGGTCTTAACATAAAACACAGTTTAAAACAATGTTGGGATGAGAAGATTAAATAAAGTAACAAAGCATTTACATAATAGAAAGAAATTAATTGAATAATATCCTCTTCTATTTTCTGTATCTCAGAACAACAGATGCCTGTAGTATACAAGGAGTTTTTAAAATTACTCTCCAAACACTCAATTTGATTGTGTTAGCTTGCTCATTAATTGAAAATGTCATGGTCACAAAGTGGAACTGAAATATATGGAAATTTTGCAGCAGCCATAAACTTGCACCAAAAGCAGTCTGCACATAAAAAGCGCTGAATGTAACTTACAGTTGACACTTATCGCCTTTGATTCCTTTTGTCGTGCAGAAACATTTTCCCGTCTTGGTATTGCAGATGGTTGCGTGTCCGTTGCATTTGCAAGCTGCGGGAAACAGTAAACAGAATCATAAATGCCATAAGTGAAAAAGTACAAAAACAACCACTTATCTACGATGGGAAAAGGCTAATTTGCAAGGGGACCTTTAGGACCTTGCTATACGCACCAAAACAAAACTTACATGTATACAGCACCTTTAACATAATCAAATATCCCTTATCACTTCACAGCAGCATTAAACCAAAGAACAACAGTGATTCATACGAGAAGCTCTAAGGTCAGATAAGAAAAAGCTTTGTTAAGAAGATAGGTTTTAATGTGTGTTTTAGAGGAGAAGAGTAACGTAGGGAGGTAGAGAGGTTTACAGAAGGATTACCAGAGCCTGGGGCCTTGGCAAATGCAGGCCAGCCAGGTGGAGAAATAATAACTGCAAATGACTAAGAGGCCAGAATTTGAGGAGTGCAGAAATATCAGAGGTTTGTGGGCTGGAGGAGATAAGGAAGGGTGAGGCCACAAAGGGATGTGAAAACAAGGATGAGAATTTTAAAGTAAATACAATGCTTAACCGACAGCAAATCTAAGTCAGCAGGCACAAGGATGATCGCTCAAAAGGACTGGCCATGAGTTAAAACTGACAGAGTTTTGAGTGAGCTTAAATTTACAGAAAGTAAACTGAGCAAAAGCAGTCAAGAGTGTGTCAGAATAGTTGAGTTTTCAAGTAAGGAGGGCCAGAAGTAGAGTTCCAGCAGTAGCTGAGCTGAGCTGTGATTTGGAATATGGAAAGAGTTGAGCAATGTGAAAAGAGGCCAAAATAGACCACGTTCGAAATAGTCCTCAACCCTAAATTCAGCAAAGAATCTCATGATGCACCAGTTCCATTTTTCACACCAACTTAATAAAGTAAAAGGTAGAGATTCGTGGGCCACTTTAGGCTTGTAGCCAGGTTGAGAATACCACAGTTCATCTCATTGATGCTCCTTTCAGAGAGGAGATTCTTGACCATTCTGAACTGATTCAAAATGTGAAGAAATGAAATAACAACGAGCTACCTCACTGCACCATCCAGTTGAGCATGCTCATCTATTAATCAGCTTGAATATATCTTGGTCTAATAAAGAAGAATCTCCAGTTTCAGGAATTCAATTGAAATGGCCATTGATTAATCATTTTCCAACATGGGATGATGCTTCAGAGGGAGTCAGTTAGCTCAGTTGGTTGGATGGCCAGTTTACAATACAGAGTGATATCAACAGTGTGTGTTCATTTCCCATGCTGGCTGAGGCTACCGTGAAAGTTCCATCTTCTCTAGCTCTCCCTTTGCCAGAGGCGTGGTGACCCTCAGGTTAAACTCACCACCAGTCATTTCTCTATAATCCTCTGGGACTATGACAACTTTTACCTTCCCAAAATGGCTGAGGTTACCACGAAGAACTCTTCCCTCAACCTCTCTCCTCACCTGGCCCTTAGGTTAAAGCACCCGCAGTCATCTCTCTCTTGAGAGAGCAGCCCTATGTGCCTCTGGGACTATAGAGACTGCAATAAATGCCATACTTTATTCATCAAGCGAAGGTCAGATTAAAACTATGCCAATATGTCAACATATTACATAGTCAATTCCATAGAAGTTGGAACATCATAAAACCTCAGCAAAAATATTACAGACTGGCTTTGGGAGCATAATATCCAAATATTCTTTTAACAGACGAATGGGTATGACATTGAAGGGATGATTCTACGTAAGAGATTACCCTAAATCACGTGCAAAAGCTAACTCCTGCAGGGAGAACAGAATTAGCATAAGAGATTTCAGTGGAAAGAGGCGACAACAGACAGCTCGGGAAAACATCCCGATGTTACTTTTATCACCCAGACCGGATGGTTATGCAGTTTCAATAATCTGATGTCTTTAGTTATGAAGCTTAGAATACTGTATGCTTTATCATCAATTTTCTCACTGTCCTGCCACCTTTAATTACTTGCATAAACATACCCAGTCTCCCTCTCGCATACCCTTAAGAATAGTACCTCCTTTTTTATACAGTCTCACCATGATCCTTGTACTGAGGTGTATCACCTCAGACTTCTCTGCATTGAACTTGATATGCAAACCATCTGTCTACTCCACCAACTCATGTACCTCTCAAGTTCTACACAGTACTCCTCACACTTTACAACTGTCCTAAGTTTTATTTCACCCACAAACTTTCAAAGTGCCCCCTTCATACAAACATCTAGATCATACAAGGATCGGTGCTGGGTTCATTGCTTTTCGTCATTTATATAAATAATTTAGATGTGAACTTAGTAGGTACGGTTAGTGAGTTTGCAGATGACGCCAAAATTGGAGGCGTATGGACACTGAAGGAGGTGTTATGGATGTGCAATCCCTTTACACATCCATTCCCCACCAGGAGGGTCTTCAGGCTCTCTGCTTCTTCCTGCAGCAAAGACCTGAACCATCCCCACCTACCACCACCCTTCTTCGCTTGGCCGAGCCCGTCCTCACCCTCAACAACTTCTCTTTTAACTCTTCTCATTTTCCTCAGCGAAGAGGGATTGCCATGGGTACCCACATGGGCCCTAGTTATGCCTGTCTCTTCGTGAGGTACGTGGAACATTCCTTGTTCCAGTCCTATTCCAGCCCCCCACCCACAACTCTTTCTCCAATACACTGATGATATCATCAGTGTAGCTTCCCTCTCTCGTCCAGAATTGGAAAACATCAATTTTGCCTCCAATTTTCACCCTGCCCTCACTTTCACCTGGTCTAAACTGACTCCTCTGTTTCCTTCCTCGACATTTCTGTTTCCATTTCTGGGGATAGACTGGTCACTAATATCCACTGCAAATCCACTGACTCCCACAGCTACCTGGACTATACATCCTCACACCCACTTCCTGTAAAGACCCCGTCCCATTCTCTCAGTTCCTCCGTCTCCGTCGTACATGTTCAGATGAGCCCATCTTCGACAAGGGAGCCTCCGAAATGTCCACCTTCTTCCTAAACCGAGGACTCCCCAGCTCTGTGGTCGACAGGGCCCTCAACCAGGTCTGACCCATCTTCCGCACTTCCGCCCTCACCCCTTCTCTTTCCTCCCGCAACAGTGATAGGGTTCCCCTTGTCCTTAGCTACCATCCCACTAGCAACCACATCCAGAAGATCAGGTGCCATTTCCGCCACCCCCAGACACACATTCCCATCCCCTCTCTTGTCCACCTTCCACAGGGACCGTTCCCTCCAGGACACTCTGGTCCACACTTCCTTCACCCCCAACAGTCCTACAGCACCCTCCCCTGTAACCGGCGAAGGTGTAACACTTGCCCATTTACCTCCTCCCTCCTCGGTATCCAAGGGCCTGAGCATACCTTCCAGGTGAAGCAACACTTCACCTGCACTTCCCAGAATCTAGTCTACTGCATTCGCTGCTCTCAATGGGGTCTCCTCGACATTGGGGAAACAAAGCATAGACTAGGTGACCGCTTCGCAGAACATCTACGTTCTGCTCACCAAAAAGACCCTGAACTACCCGTTGCCTGCCACTTTAACATACCACCCTGTTCCCTGGCCAACACGTCTCCATGTCTGGCTTGCTGCAGTGTTCTACCGAAGCTCAACGCAAGCTAGAAGAACAACACCTCATTTTCCGCATGGGGACCCTGCAGCCCTCTGGACTCAATATCGAGTTCAATAATTTTAGGGCCTAAACTCTCCCATGTCCTAGCCCCCTACCCCACACACCAGGTCTTGTTACCACATAGCTTGCCATTACACACTACCTATTATTAGTTACTAACTGTCCCCATTAACAACTATTCACCCTCCCAGCCTGATCATTATCAACTCTTTGTCTGTCCAACTGCTCTTCTTTCTCTTTAGGCTCTATCCTATCATTTACTCCCTACCCCATCCCCCTCCCCTTTTTTCTGCATATAAACTGATGTTTTCCCAGCCACCATCAGTCCTGAGGAAGGGTCACCGGACCTGAAACGTTAACTGTTTTTTCCTTCACAGATGCTACCAGACCTGCTGAGCTTTTCCAGAAACTTTGTTTTTGAACAAGTGGATGGCATTCATCTTAACTAAAAACAAAACAGTGGAATAAATAATGCAAACTAACTATTTCTCAATTATTTCTCAATGGCTCAAATATGTCAGGAGATCTTGAGTAATAAATACATCAGATTCAACTGCCAGAATCATCTGGCGTATAGTCGTTATGATACCTCAGAAAGGAAGAATGGTTATCTTCATTTCACCACAGGGTAGAAAGCACCTGTGGAACTATACCCCAGGAGTCAGCATTTTGGCAAATGTGGAAATTGACAGAAATGAAAAACTTGTCATTGACACTTACATTGGCAACTCCCTCCATTTGTAGGATCTCCATAATAACCAGAGATGCATGTTTCACAGCGTTTGCCAGTTGTTAAGTCTTCACATTTTTCACAGATGCTTTCATTAACACACTTGCAATGGCCATTACACTGACAAGCTAAGGGAAACAAAACAAAATGGTTTCACACCCTGAGAGATACAAAACGACAAATGCCAGTCAATATAATATTTCACCCTCCAAAGCATCTTGTATATTTGATCCAAAAGAAAATGTATGTGAAGAAATACTTTCTATTTGTTTGTTGAAATAACTCCAAACAGGCCAGTATCCATCACAAAGTCACATTTTCTTTACATGTATGGAGTTCCTGACCTTGATCCAGCTCTCGGAGTAAACAGCATGCCTGACACTTCTGTTCTTATCTGTCAGCCAGGACTCCCGGATTGGACCAGATTAACAGCCACAATCAAGAAACTCGCTTTCTCTACTGACCACCTGGCTGACCTTGTTACAATCACTACATGTGTGAAGGGTGTTTTACTAACCTGGACACTGGATAAAGGACCAGTTGTATTTTGTTTCTGCTGGGCACATGCTGACATTCAAAACTGGTACATAAGGACTATTTGTTGCAGGTATTTTCACTGGTCCTCGATAAGATCCTTCTATACACTGTCCCTTGCCTGTATTGCTGGGGTCAGTACACCATCCGCATCCTGGCTGCTCCAAGCAGTCACTGCATGTTCGATAACCGGAACAATTTTCAGCTAAGACAACAGAAAAGACATACATTACATACTCATCCTGTTTTGACCATTAGCTGTGATCCACAAACTATCCTCATACAAGAGCACAGAGTTTGTGTGTGAGGACAGAGAGCATTCAGAAATAAAAAAATACCCAAAAGGATTTGAGAACAAACTAAGACAAGAATTGACACCTAGCCAAAAGGAGATGGTAGAAGAAGGTAGGTATCAAAGAAGGCTGTTGTCAAGTGCTTTAAGAAAGGAGATGTTTCTTAAAATATCCTTGTTTTTAAAATTCATTCACAGGAGACAGGTGTTGCTGCTTAGGCCAGCATTTATTGCCCAATCCTAAATGTGCAGAGGGCAGTTAGAGGGCAGTCAGAGGGCAGTCACTTTGCTGTGTGTCTGGAGTCATGTGTAGGCCAGATCAAGTAAGTGTGGCAGACTTACGGGGAGGAGAGGTCTTATTTAGGACCTATTTATGTTCTATTGCTCGACTATTAATCCAGAAATTCAGCTACTGTTCTGGGGACTCCCAGGCTCGAATCCTGCAAATAGTGGAATTTGAGCTCAATAAAGTAAAAAATCTAGAATTAAGAATCTACGAATGACCATGAAAACATTGTCAATTGTCAGAAAAACCCATCTGACTTACTGACAGAGGGAATTCTGGCATCCTCACCTGGTCTGGCCTACATGGTCAGCAATGTGGCTGAGTTTCAACTGCCTTCTGAAATAGCCTAGCAAGGCACTCAATTCAAGGGCAGCTAGGGATGGGCAATGATGCTGGCCAGCCAATGATACCCATGATTGAGTAAAAAAATTTGCTTCCCTCGAGGACATTAGTGAACCAGATGGGATTTTAATGACAGTGTTCACTAATAGGCCAGCTCTGTATTCCAGATTTCTTCTTCAATGTAAATTTCACCATCTGGTAGAGTGGGATTTGAATCCTTGTTCCTGAGAGCACAAGTCTGGAGTTACGATTTTATCACCTCTGCTTCCTCTTAATTTATTCTGACAATCTCACCATAAGAAGTTATGCAACAGGTGTGAAATAAATGGACATGGCACAACAGACTTCAGTTGGAGCTTATTAATGTTGTATAACATGAATCCAATTACCACCCAGGTGCGCATATTAGAATCCCATTTCTGCAGTAATATCATTCACACTGAGCACAAAATTTAGTGGACAATAAGAAAATAAAATCAACCTCTTTAAAAATCAGAATGTCCAAATGCATCAAACTTCAAAGAAAACTTATGTTAAGGGAAGCAGCAAAGCCACTTATTCTGAGGCTGCATTAAATGTCCAATATTGTGAAAAACATTTGCCAGAATTCCCTTATTGCATTTTTAATTATATGTTTACTTGTGATAATTGAACTTTGCTAACTTTGGTGGTGTGTAACATGTACAAAATTTAAAAATCTACATCTACAACTTGTATAAAATTACACATAGGAAATTGTGTGTTCTCATTCAGGAAAAGCTGCTACATTAAGGCCAACTGCATAGAAATGAAGGTTGAAACCGAGTAAAATGCTTCAAATGGGTGCAGTTGCATATTGTCAGGGCACCACCAAACATCACTCGGCCTCGGAGACCCATCCGTATCATGTAGGATTCGGGGAGCTTATACCTGTAATGAAACCACAGTGATAGCAGCCATTAGAGGTAGAAGCTAAGCACTGCCATGTCTAGTTCTGTCTTGACAACAAGGAGGGTTCCTGAACTGGTATGCAAGGAAAGCTTTGAATCATGATCAAAGGTGGAAAAGTTCAACTAAAGAAAATGGGAGGAAAAGGAAAATAAAAGGTTCGCATTTACCACAAAATAGCACAAATGACAAATTCTTAGCTGACTCAACCACTAAAAAAAAAACTTATCTTGACCTATGTTAAATGATTTTTAACGTTATATTATTTTGCTTGTACCAGTAGGTAAGGCACTAACCAGCATCAAAGAGGAAGACAAAGTCATTAAGCATGCAGCTAGCAGTAATGAGTTGTAATAATGAGTGGTTTAAAATTCTACGTCAAACGGAAGAACAAAATAACAGACATTTGCAAGTTAAACATTCAAGGTAGGTAGCGAAAAGCAAGTTGTGTGAAATAAATCTCCTAAAACATTAATTTATTTGGCTACAGGGTAAACAGTATGCCTGTGGATCAATCTACTTGTAAGATGATTGCTAGTATAAAAAGCTGAAATCTATAATGCTGAGCAGCAATATTTTAGAGCAAGGGAATGTAAAATCGTTACGTACTGTGTTTGTTGCAACAAAACTGCAACACTGATTCATTTAATTATTACGAATATTTACAAGCTTGGAGTGGTTGCTGAAATTTATCAAAATAATATTAGGGGTGAATACTTCAATTTTGCAGAGAAATCAGAAAAGCTGAGATTGTTCTCCACACACACAAGGTGGTCAAGATGAGATACAACTGGTTTACAAAACGGAGGAGTTACAGTGAGAATAAATGAGGAAAAACCGTTTCCATCAGCAAGATACAAGGTGCAGAACAGATTCACTTGCCTGTCTGCAGGGATGAAAGGGTTGTCTTAAAAGGAAAAGCTCAACAGGTTGAACTTGTATCTGTTGGACTTTAGAAAACAGAGGCAAACTTATTTATAGGTTTAAGGTGAGGAGAAAGTTTACAAGATAACAAAGTGTGGAGCTGGAGGAACACAGCAGATCCTTCTTCAGAAAAAGGGTCCTGACCCGAAACGTCAACTTTCTCGCTCTCCTGATGCTGCCTGGCCTGCAGCGTTCCTCCAGCTCCACACTTCGTTATCTCGGACTCCAGCATCTGCAGTTCTTGCTATCTGAGAAAGTTTATAGGAGATGTGCAAGGTAAGTTTTTTTTTTATTTACACAGTTGGTAGTAGGTGCCTAGAATCTGACGCCAGAGGAAGTAGCAGACATGGTAGCAGTGCTGAAGCAGCATTTAGACAGATACGTGAACAGGCAGGGAACAGAGGGATACAGACCATGTGCAAGTAGGTGGCACTAGTTTAACAGAGTAACATGGTCATCACAGACAGGGTATGCTGGAGGGGCTGTTCTTCTGCAGGACTCATGTTCTATGAAGTATAGATCATCCTGAAGAGAAATATTGGGGTGAATACTGATAAGATGTTTCCCCTTGAGGCACACGCTAAAACTAAACGGACAATGTTTTTGTTTTAGACAAGTGTCTCTCATTTAACATGAGGAAAAATATGCTCTTGAAGTTGGTTATTCATCTACGGAAGTCTCTTTCTCAGAGTGTAGCGGATACAGAGCAATTGAATTTTTTAACATGTCAAAATTATGCCACTGGCCCTTGAACCAGAAAATAACCCACTTACATCCATTCTGTACCCTGTTAGTTCACGAACCTTCTTTGCACGTTGATGTCAATGCCTATGTCACGACCATTTATTTTCCACAACAGGAAACGTATCCAAAATATTCCACAACAGGAAGGCATCCTACCAAGTGCCTTCGGAAAATCCATGTAAAGTACATCCACAAAGCTCCCCTTCATCCACAGCAAATATTATCTTTGCAAAAAGCTCCAATAAATTGCGCTAAGTTAATTTTACTTTCACCAATCATGTTCAGTCTGCCTGGACTAACTAATGGAAGACAGAGTTGGAATAAGGTGAGGAAAAACCTGCAACTTGTGGAGTGCCACAGGGATCAGTGCTGAAACCACAACTGTTTATAATGTATATTAATAATATGGATGAGTGAAGTGAATTTACTATAGTCAAGATTGCAGATGACACGAAAGTAGGAAAGAATACAAGTGGTGAGGATGACAGAGTCGACAGAAGGATTTAGACAAGCTAAGCAGAAACCTGACAGATCGAATATAATGTGCAACATGTGAGTTTATACACTTTAGCATGAAGAACAGAGAAGCGAATGTTACAAAATTGGAGAAAGGCTGCAGAAAACTACTGCACAGAAGGATTTGGGAGTCCTTGTGCAAAAACCACAGAAAGCTACCATAGAAGTTTATTAGTTAACAAGGAGACAAATGGAATGTTAACTTTTATTTTCAAGGGAATGGAGTATAAAAATGATATATTTAGCTAAAACTACGTAAGGCATTAGTCCGACCACATCTGAAACACAGAACAGTTTTGGTCCCCTTTTCTAAGCAAAGATATGCTGGCATTACAGACATTCCAGAGAAGGTTCACCAGGGTGATAACAGGTATGGAGAATTATTTTATGAGAAGAGTTTGAGTAGATTGGACTTGTATTCATTGGAGTTTAGAAGAATGATAGATGACCTTGTTGCAACAGACAAGTTGACGGGACTTGACAGGGCAGATGCAGGGAAGTTGTTTCCCCTTGTGAGGAAGCCTCAGACGAGAAAGCGTAATCTCAGAATAAGTGATTACACATTTAAAACAGAGATGAGGAGGAATTTCTTCTCTCCAAGTAGTGAATCTAGAATTCTTTACCACAGAGGGTGGTAGAGGTCAGGTCACTTACTTTATTCAAAGGTGAGAAAAACAGATTTTGAATTAGCAGGAAAATCAAAGATTATGGGGAAAAGGCACAATGTGGAGTTCAGGATTATCAAATTACCCATGATCTCACTGACTGGCACAGTAGACTCAATATGCTGAATGGGCTACTTCCGCTGTTTTGTCTTATGTCCTTATCAATGCTTTAATCATTAGAAACCATATTTAGTGAGTTTTGTCATCACTTTAAACATCTTTTAACTACATTCCAGTTTGCCCTACTGTAAAACACCATCAGATTCTTAAATCTGATCCACATAAGTACAATTCCACAACTCAAAAACTTTTAGAAATCTCTTGTACATGCTCTCCAAAGCCTTAAAATGCCCTTTTGAAGGGTAGTGTTCAGAAATTCACATCAGACTTCAACCAGAGTTTAACGAATGCTTACACTGAGCTCAGACTAGCATCCAAGCTTCTATACTGCATGTTATGTCTCTGTTGATAATAACCAGGACAACTGATTTGTTAAACTGCCCTACCACCATTAAAGCGTTGTGCAAAAACATCTCCAGGTCACTTTTCATCTTGTCAAAATCAGAATTTACTATGTATTGTTGTCTCCTTATTCCTCCCACCAAGGTGTGTCACCACAAATTTTCATGTGTTAATCTTAATTTGCCATCTGTGAACCCAGTTCACCTGTATGTGAAAGTCATTTTAAAGTTTACTACCATCTTCCTTATTATTTATCACATTTCCAGTTTTTACGCCACTTCCAAATTTCAAAAGTGCATCCTGTACCTCCACGTTATACTTACCAAAACAAATCAAGTAAGGAACAAATATGTTCACACTTTTTGGTGTGCATGAAAACAAATTTCAAGCAAATAAAATTCATTATTATTTCTAAGACAATTAAATTTCGTGATTGGATCAGTGAAGATTTTAAAAACCCACTGGATGAACAAAAAGTTTCAAGCTGCCCACAATTAAAAATCATCAAACCTGAGGTACGTAAAGCATTGTAAATAATAACAAGACAGAAAGAGATTAAATTTTACTCACCTTGACAACTGTTCTTCGTGTACCACTCCATACACTGGCCAAATGGAAAGGATGGCACATACGCATTTGCATCCACACACTGCTTCATGTTGCTGCACCACATACACTCAGAGTTGCCACCGGTGCATTCAGTGCAGGTTGTTCTCAACGCACAAGGTGTGCGGCACTGCTTCGCACTGTGGTTCGCTATAATTGAAGAGGTAACACTTTAATTTCAGTGGCATTTTAAGTTCCAGTTTTCTTTTCATCTTCATTCATCTTTCTCAGTTGATGGTTAGAATAAACCTCAACTCCATTGTTTAAAAACTCCCAGTGGCAAAACTTTTCCAAAATCCCCTTTCCTTCTCCACACCAAACCAGTGCCTATCATGCCTACTACCGTATACATTTTGTATGGTTATGATCTGCCTGTACTGCACGCAAAACAAAACTTATCACTGTACCTCGGAACGTGACAATAATAAATCAAATCAAATCACGTTCACTGAATTGTGCAGCACAGACTTACAAGCTAGTAACTGTAAACAAATTTGTGTCAAACCCAACATGATCGTCTGATCACAAAGCAAGCACTGGAAAAGAGCAATTGAAATAATCTGTAAACACACCTTGAGGGATTAATTAGCTTTAAAGCTCAATTTATAACTATTTTAATGGCATATGCTCACCTTCACATCCGTTTGTTAATTATAAATTGGATTTATTTTCCAAATTAAAAATTGATCAAGGTCTACTTGAGACTGTTCCTGTATTATTCCCAAATATCTACCATTGACAGCATCAACATTTCCAGAGATTTGAGCTTTCAGGAGCCCAGCCATAATGGGGAGATTTCAAGATGTCAGTAACTCACTAGCATTTACAGAATAAACATCCAAATCTTCCATGTGAGACGTAAAAATAGATGTTCAGTGATCACCCTCGACTGGAAAAGGATCTCAAGTAAATTCTGTGTCTCTCAATAATACCAGTTTAAATTTGCTCGCTTTAATGTGTGAAGAGTGGGAGAGGAGACAAGAAAATAAAAGCTACATTTTTCTCAGACCAAATTGATGAGAAAAGCTTTCAAAGTATATACATTTTCCAACAGCAGCTGACACTGACATTTTTCCCTACAATGGAAGTAGCTCATTTTTAATCTAAGCTTTCATGCTGAAAAGACATTTAGAGATCAGCTTGACCCTCAAAGCTATTATTTCCATTATCATGGTTGTTCTCAGGTTTGACTTCATGATTGGTTTTCCAAGAAGAAAATGAAACATTTTATAGGTCCAGCATTAAACAATGCCTCTTGATTGATGTTGCTAATAACAGAACAACATACAGAAAGTGTCCCTCATGCTAAGTCTTCATCAACTTACAATTCCATTGTCATTTCCACACGTCATTACAGTGCCTATAATACAACCCTGTACAAATCAAAAGAAAAACTGTCCTGACAATGAAAAGAAAATTTATATTGCATACTGTTACTCTGTATTTGAAAGCTTAAAGCTTGCATATATTAATTCATAGCACAAACAAGCCTGTCAGGAAGAAATCTGACCACTACGTAATTTCCTGCTTCTCTGCCAAGTTCCCACTTTCCTCAACAAAGTGTTCGCATTCTCAAACTTTCAAAGACATTCCTATCACATTCTGGGCATAAACTCATCCGAATACAACCCTCCAATTTCACGGTCTTTCAGCCATTAAAATAGCTTTGCGACATTTTCAGCAAATACGTGCTGACGTAGATTGACATCTGGCAGCAATTGTTTTACAAAAACGTGACATTCCTAAAATGTCAGTTGATTCAAGTTTTCTTTTACCCCCTCCGAAAGAAAAGTCGGTTAAGATTGCAACTTTATACAAAACATATCCAGAATATATAAAACTAAACCTAGAGCTTGACAAATCTGAGAAACGTTTTTGAGGCTGTAACTAACAAGTAAATAAGTAGGAACTGGCGGTCATGATTGGAGACTTTCACAAACTCGATCATATCATCCTCTACCAATGTGTCTCCATTATCACTCAACCAGGTTGAACTGCACTTGCCTAATTCCATTCTTATCCATCCAACCGGAGCCAGAGAATGGATGTCAATGTCTTTTTTCTCATCTAAGCTTTGCTGAAGTCTACTTTTTGTCTACCTGCTAGATCTGAGATATCATCCAAAATCATAACTATACCCAAGACACCTAGCTTTAGCTCACCACCACTTGACAAAATCCCTGTGTCTTCAAGTTGTCAAGCTCCTAATCCAAAATCCATAAACAAATGAGCAAAAAATTGTTCCATTAAACATCAAGGAGACCAAAGCCATGGTCTTCTGCACCCACCACAAACTCAGCTCCTTCCCCTAACTAACATTTGTGTCCGAACCAGAGAGTTTGCAACTGCAGTATCGTACTTGATCTCAAGATAGACTGAATGAATCAAATTGACACTGATAACATGGATGATGAGCTTATAGACCATTTTTGTAACAATTTCACAGAGTAGCATGTTCCAGAAAACCATAAGATATAAGATCAGAATTCGGTCATTTGGTCCAGAGTCAGCCCCACCATTTGATCACGGCTGACATGTTTCTCAACTCCATTCTCCTGCCTTCTCCCCATAACCTTTGATCCCTTTACTAATAAAGAATCTATTTATCTCTGTCTTAAATACACTTGGTGACTTGGCCTCCACAGTCTTCTGTGGCAATGGGTTCCACAGATTCACCACCCTCTAGCTGAAGAAATTCCTCATCTGAGTTCCAAAGAGTTGTGCCTTCACTCAGCCTGTGCCCTTGGGTCTTAATCTGACCTGTTATTGAAAACATCGCCATGTCCATTCTATCCAGGTCACTCAGTACTGTGTAAGTTTTTAATGAGACTCCCGCACCTCCCGCTACACCCCAATCCCTCTAAACTTTTGAGTACAGACCCAAAATCCTTGACTGCTCTTCATAAGTTAAGCCCATAATACAAGTTACAGCACAGGAGGCGGCTATTTGGCCCATCGTGTCTGTGCTGGCTCCTGAAAGAGCTACCCAGTTAGTCCCATTCTCCAGCCCTATCTAAAATCACTTTTTAATAAGAATAAGAATAAGAATAAGAATAAGAATAAGAATAAGAATAA